ACAGTCACTGTTGGTGCATCTTCACCTTATTGGCTTGTGTGCCTCTGAACGAAACAGTCTGAAAGAAAACAAGGCAGCATGGTACAACCATAATTGTGTTTGTAGCTTCATTTTTAGATTAGGAGGACATTATCTTTTAAAAAACACAGGTTCGGGCATTCTTCAGTCATCCCTTTGTAAGCCACAGGACAGCAATACTATACAGCACGTGTAGTGTATTGTAACAGAGAGATTAAATCATATAAACTTTAATTTTCAGATGTAAACCCTTAATTTTACTAATAATTCCACAGTGGGACCGTGTTAAAGGCCTTACAGAAGTCCAGGTAATGACATCTGTAGTTCCTCCCTTATCCACCAACACAGTCATAGGCAGCCACCAGATTCGTCAGGCATGATTTGCCCCTTGTGAAGCCATGTTGGCCGTCTCTGTCGTCCTTCCTGTCATCCATATGCCTTGACATAGCTTACAGGAGGTTCCATGTTCTTACCAAGCATAGAGGTGAGGCTGCCTGGTTGATGGTTCCCAGGGTCCTCTGTTTTACCATTTTTAAAAACCGGTCAATCAAACTGTAACTCAGACTAAAGAATGGAACCCTACAACTGGCATGTGGTTGTATTCTTGGTGCCGCATGCTTCCATTTTGTAAATTGGCACTCGCTGTTACCACTTACAGTGAAGGTGAATACTTACATTAATAGTGGCTTTAATTGAAGAAGTAGCAACGTGGTTCTGGATCTCCGGTAACAGAGTCACAAGAACTCCTAAGGTCTGGATGCAAAGTCTCAGAACCTCTGTGTGAGTCTAATGGTATGCATGTTGTGCTGACATGGCTCAGAGGCAGAAGATTAAATATATGCTAGTAAGCTTATACTTTAGCAAATGGTTCTAATCCATGTGGGTTTTCTCCAATTATGCAGTGCACAGAGTATAAGGAACAGGGGCCAGAACCTCTTAATGCTCCTGAGCCTGCTACAGTGTCAAGTGAATTTTGCTGTGCTGCTTGGTGTAACATTCTGCTGGAAGCGCGGTTGATTCATATGCCTGGGAAGTGCGAAAGGTGGCCTTGGTGCTGCACAGCCTAAGGCGCCCTGCAGTCCAGAAGCCTGATGCCTGGGGGCCGTGCTAGACCACTGCGCTGGTACGCAGAGGGGCACAAGTGGCGTAAATATCACGTCCTCCTCGGCCTGTTTTGTGTAATGCTACACCAACAGCAGAGTCCTTGTGTTACGTGTGCTCACCTTGATTGGAATTAGACTTCTGGGGAGACTGAACAACATCTGAATGCCTCCCTACCGATCTGTGACAAATTTGGCACTTTACGTCCATAATGGTGACATAAATATGACCCTGTGCCAAACTGCGGGGTGAATCTGGTTCAAGGGTGATGAGTCCTCACTCAGGTGCTTTGGTGGTAGGTAGTCTTCTGTTTGGATGTGATGGTGCACTCTTACACCTTCATACTTTTATTTAGGTAGTCTGGGTTCATGGGAGAAACACGGTTATCTTCTACTGTGGCTCAGTTTTATCTGCAGTTAGCGCTGCACATGCAGCAGTGTGTGGGATCCTGCTACGCATGAAGTACAGTGCTGTTCTGCCAGGTAGCCATGTCTTTGCAGCAATGCTGTGCTTGCATTTGTTTTACTGTTTGCGTTCATTACTCTACAGCATTACTGTTAGCTAAGCTGTTGTAGCAGGGTGGCTGCAGACCTTTCTATGTGAGCTGGGGGTGGCAAGGTGGAGCTGCATCTCCTGTAACACAGCTGCTAACTGATGCCAGACCTAACCTCTTTGCCTTACATGTCTGCGTTGTCCACTTCGGTACGAATGACTTCTCAGAGTCGCTAGGCCTGCGCAGTAAAGTCCTCCAGAAAACTGAAGAACTGAGGAGGAGAATGATCTCTGATTCTGTTACTATCCCTGATGAGTTCTTATGTCCTATAACAAGGGAGCTTATGAAGGATCCTGTCATTGCAGCAGGTATGTCTCTAAATGATGGTGACTGAAATGAATGACTTCAGGGTAAAAACAGGTGTGGGAACACAAAAGTGGACATATTTTATCAGTTGTAGAAAGAAAAACTATTCTAAATAGCTGTTGCAACAAAACGGAACAGAACTGTGGTAAATGTTTAATTTGCTAAATTACATGTGATTCTGAGAAAAATACTGTATCAAGCAATTTGCTTAGTGTCAGCTCTGCTGATGTGGCTGTACAGAACTTCTTTTTTAATGTTGTTTCCTTTATGTGCATTTGCAAATACAATTGCAAGCTTAATTATAGAGTTGTCTCAGTAAGTGCAAAATGGAATTGTGCACACGGGGCAGGATGGACCAAAAAAAAACCAGGCTCATTACTACTCTCGGCACACCATGTACAGTAATGGTTCAGTACCCTTTCTTTCCTCTCCCATTGCCCTTAAGTAGCAAATACAAACATTGTGATGTAGTTCTGTGGGGGGGGATGTCTTCTGGTATAGTGTCTGTAATTTATTATGTTCAGTTCTAAACAGAGCTAAGCAATGGCAGTTGCAGGCAACCTGACGAGCATCATCTGATTTCCTTTAAAGGAACTTTTTTTAAAGGACCCGAGTAAGCACTGTTACAAATGCTGACTGGCACCTGCCATTCCTAGCACGTCACCTCACTGCTTCAGTGTTTCTCTCTTAGACACGAAAGGCTACAGGGACCTTTGGCAGGCAGCACTGACGATTCCTTCGTGTCCTGTCACTGGGCACCACTGAAAAGAGTTTGGCCCCATCCTTCTGACACCCACCCTTGAGATATTTATAAGCGTTTACAAGGTCCCCTCGCAGCCTTCTCTTCTTCAGGCTGAACAAGCCCAGCTAGTCACCAGCGAACTGACGTGGCTGCAACTGACTGGTAATTTTACAGTGCTTTCTGAAGTAGTTTGTACTGGTCAGTTTGCCAAGTACAGTAAGTTGAACCATATTTTGATCTTAATACCGCTGTATAAAGTTTTATTGTAGTACATTTAGCTATGTGATTCAAAACAAATACATGTGAGTTCATGGTAAAGTTTTCACAGATGTAATTTTTCTGTATCACAATTCTCCTGTTTGGAAATACCGATTCCCTTACATCCTTTAAAAATTTAAATAGCTAAAAATCTGTATAGTGTAACAGTGCCCAAGCATCTGTAATAAAAGCTTTTGATGATGGTTTCTTTGTAGATGGCTATTCCTATGAAAAGGAAGCAATGGAAAACTGGATCAGCAATAAAAGACGCTCTAGTCCCATGACAAATCTTCCTCTCCACTCTCCTCTGCTTACACCAAACAGGATGCTAAAAATGGCCATCAGTCGCTGGGTAGAGACTCAGCAGAAATACAGTAAACCCACTTAGTTTTGAAGTTGGTTGTTACAATTAATTGAAATGAACGTGTGTGTAGCTAAAGGAAATAACTGTATCAGCAACAACTTCCAAGAAAAAAAATCTTCACTGTTGGAAGCTCCCAGAAAATTACTGACAAACTTTAAAGTTACTGGCAGTTTTACTTTGCGGTAAAGTACTTCTGTTTAAGGAATGAAGTATTGAGATTCAAAGTTTTTCAAATAAAGTTTTCTTAAAATTCACTACATTTTTGAGTTTTGATTTTGCCAAGTTTGCCTTTCAGAAGGTAAGAAATAGCAAAGTATATAATCCATATTTCTTTTTCTAATTTTAAAACCAAAGCTGTGTCTTTCTCTGTTCCCTAGTTAGAAAAGTTGGGCGAGAGTTTCTCCTGTAACCATCAGTGACTGCATCCCATCCCGCAGGTATAGTAATAATCTTTATTTATATGGAAAAAATACAGTAGCTGTGCAAAAATAGAACTACTGGACAGGACTTGTACAAAGTACCAAAGAAACAGTAAACAATAAATAAGCTAAAACATAATGATGCAAACTCAAAAAGAATTTGTAAAACTGGGCTGTTCACAACGTACATAAAACACTGTATACAAACACGAGGTGAAAAGTGACCGACTGTGTGAAGTTGACCACTCCAGCCTCACTGCACTCACAGGAATGTCACTGCAGCTGTTTATTTTCAGAATGTTCTTGCTGATATAAAGCCTTATTTCCTCCAAAAAACTTCACAACTTCATCCTGTCGTGCAACTGCACTTACACTTTTCCTGAAACTTTCATCTTTACTCCCATCAACTTCTTGGGTTTCCCATAAAAACACTTACTAAACATTTCATTGCTGTACCTTTTTCATGAATAAACAATATATCATTTTGCTTTAATATAGCACCCAACAGTGATTAGATAAACTATATAAAGTGCAATTATTGTTAATATGCCGTAATATCGTGTTCTTCAGTGCAATAACCAATATGGTCAAAGCCTTTCAATACACATGCAAATGTCACTGTTTATTTTACTTGATTTCTTCTAGTTACTAAAAATAGTTATATTTACATGTCAAAACATGGCCGCTTGTAGTGTACTCATACACAAATTATTTATGCTTCCTAAATGTACATCATGCAACCCAAATTAGATCCTGCTAGAAAAGTGATAAAATACTATCTTGGATTTTTAAAAAAGCATACATATACAGAGCCAAGTATTGTGCAGCAGGTATCTTTCTAACACTGTTTTGAGAAGGAAGCATTGAGCTTTATAGAGGCACGATTATTATGGAAGTGGCGAGGCATACTATAAGCAAAAGTTGAGAGTCAAGCCCTACGTAAAAGGAAAGTCTCGTTTAACGTAAAATGTACTGGAGAGGATGTCTCTGCTTCAGGTACTAGTTTGGCGGATTGATGGTCCTAATTTGACTCCTCCTACACAGATTTGTTGTTCCAGTTACTGTAAGTGTCCTGTGATGGTAGGACAGTCTGAAGTGGTTGTATCCCAATTAAGTACTGGCCGGCGTGGCCTGCTTACTCAAATTCACAAGTGACCAGCCAGTCGGCACTGTGTACCGAGGTAATGCCCTCTGATGTTAGGAGCTATGTTGTACAACCCTGTAAATATACAAAAGTATTTACACATTCGATTCAACGAATGATCGCTTTGGCTTTGTAGACGTGACATGGCTGAGGTGGCCCTCCTTACTGATGAGAACCTGCTGTTTTGGTGCAGCGTCTGGGTACACATGCGAAGCTTGTTTAGGTGCCCTGTTGTCCTGACAGCGGGCAGTCACGTGGCACTGAAGCTCCTCATGTTCTTTAGCTTGCATACCATTCTGGCTGCTGTCTCCTGGGGCAGCCCCAGCAGAGGAGACTTTAGTCTGGTAGTGTTTGATTGAGAACTGCTCAAAATTTGAGGATTGAACGCCCCCAGAAGCAGCATTTGTTGATAATCCATCTGACACCTGAGAGTGCCAAGTGCGACTGGGTTGAGCATTTTGCTGCTGAAACCTTGCAGTCTTATCCATGATTCCCATGAACGGGGTATTGCGAGGTCTGTGTTCAGCAACAGCACCCTGACCGTGAGGAACGCTACTCTCCTTGAGCCGAACGTCTGGGCCTAGCGCCTTCATGCTATCTGAGCAGCTGCTGGCCGAATTGAAGCTGCTGGCTGAGCTGGCAGGAGTCGTACTGCTGGATGGAGAGCTAGGTGAGACACCACTGGCTGCAGGACTCTGCTGCCTGGCTTCACTGAAATTCATCTGAGCAGAGGCTGCTAGCCTGTCGGCGGGTTTAGACTTACTTGCAAAAGAACGAGAAGAGAGTTTGTCATGATGCTGCGAATGGGAACACTGGCTGGACGCAAACTTCTCACTGTACAGTTCAGAGCTAGAACCTGTGGGAACGCTTCCGGATGGTAATGTGCTTGTTGCATCCAAGTGCTGAGTTTTAGAGTGACGGCCTGGCAAGGGGCTTTGGGGAAGATGCTGAAAAGATGACTGTGTCTTTGTATGACACTGACTGCTGCCCGGTTTCGACCCCGGCTGGCTGGAGCTCAGGTGCTGATTAGTTTTGACTATCTGGGCCTGCTTTGTTGGCTGCATGATCAAGCCTGGCTCTCTCAGAAACTTACTGCCCGTTCTGCTTTGTGGGGACACAGATCGAGCTTTCTGCTGAACGCCGCCTTGAAGGGTCCTGCTGTGTGATGAAGCAGCTAAAGAATGCTGCAGCCTTTGTGGAGAGGAAACAGATTCGTCACAGTGTGGTAGTTCTTCCTCCCTGTCCTGAAGATTAAAATTATCATTCACACCTTGTATAATGTCCTCCTCCTCGTTATCAGAGTTGGTAATCTGCTGCAGTAGCTGTGGAGACTGATGCTTCTGTTGCTGTGTCCTCTGGAGCTGTTTGCAATCCTCTTCTACTCGAGCCAAGAGACGTTTTATCTCTTGATTGCTAGGACATAGCTGTGTGGCTTCACGTAAGTCAGCGAGAGCAGCAAGTAGCTTTCTGTTGGGGGGGGTTAGAATTAAACTTAATAAAAACCTGGGGCAAATCTGAGTCTCAGCATTGCCTACTACTAATCCACCTCCACCACTTTGAAAGAAATACTCTGACTTGTCATCCCCTGCTGCAGGTGGGAACAATATAAGAACTGTATGGTCTCCAACCCAAGAAATTCTTCCCTACAGTGAAAACGCAGACCCAACCCTATCCTCTCCTGAAGTCCAGGGCAGTGAGCTTGCTGTGCGCCCTCCTCGCTGCCCTGAGGATCCTGAACTCCACCATTTCACGGTCACTGCAGCCAAGGCTGCCCTTGAACTTCCCATTCCCCATCAGACCCTCCTTGTTTGTGAGAACAAGGTCCACCATAGCACCTCTCCCCGTGGGCTCCTCTATCGCTTGGAAAGGGAAGTTGCCCTGCCATGTTGTCCCACCAACAGATATCAGTGTGGCTGAAGTCCCCCACGAGGAGCAGGGCCTGTGACCGTGAGGCTGCTCCAATCTGTCTATAGAGGCCTCGTCTGCTCGGTCTTCCTGGTCGGGTGGCCCATAGCAGACCGCCACTGTAGTGTCGCCAGTCCCTGTCTTGCCTTTAATCCTGACCCGTGAGCTCTCAGTCTATTTCAACTGTACCATTATAGTTAAGTATTTTCAGCTTAACAAGATGGTTCCTCCTCTCTCCCCTTGTTTTTATCTTGAACTGCTAATGACTCAACAAATCCTGTCCTATAAAAGCACCCAGTTTATCCTGGTAATAAATAATGCAGCGCTGGAGTTTGGTGGCACACTGCTGACAATATTCTGCTGAGTCACCTGGAGTAGCAGTCCCATTCAGTCTTACACATAAAATAATCCCTCTTCATATCAATTTGTTACTTTCTGGACTGCCTAATAATTACCTAAACGTGTATTCAATATTGCTTTTTGAGTTTGGTTGGCTTTAACGGATACAGAGACCTAATACAGATAGAAATACAAGGAAAGTAACTTTTTCTTTGCAAATTCCAAATACAACTAGCAGAAAAAAGTTACTGAAAGTGCTAGGACATTAAAAAATCTGTGTAGAGAGGCTCACAAAATCAAACAGTACCTGCTGTTCCTCTTGGCTCTTGCTCTAGCGTAATAGGCTTCATAAGACTTGGGTTTCAGATCCAACGCTTTGGTAGCAAACTCTTCAGCCATACCAAAGTCCTAATAATTTAAACAAATGTACTCATTACACATTGACAATAAAAGAAAGCTGCATGCTCTTTATTCATGGTACTGCTTCAAAAGTGCAGACAGCTTATGCAGTGTAGAACGTCACCTTTATCAGTTAGCAAGAGCAGGTATTTTCTGGAAGACTGAGACAGACCTCATCTTGCCAACCTTGTCTCTCACGTCTAAGGGCAACTGACTCCAAGCTAAAAAGCATTGTTAATATAGATCAGGTACGGTTATTTTCAACCCAAAGATGTTAAAATGCTAGAAGAGGCTGCATGTTTAGCAGGATAAATGACGACCTCAGATAGCAAGGCTTTATAATGTGCTTTGAAAAAAGGCCAGTTAAAGACCTAGGAATTTAGAGAAAAACAAGACAGATCAGGAAATGGAGCTTTCTTTGATAAGGGACCGGACATTTTTAGAGAAGAAATGCACTAGATGTAATGTATTTGGTTGTCATTTAGCAAGAACACAGAGTAAGAGTTTAGTAAATTGTTGGTTAAACCAAAGACTGGAATTAACAAAGCAGGACTGAAACGCGGGCAAAGATGGCTATGGGGACGATGAAGGCAGAAGCAAGTCTGTATTTGTAACAGCCATACACAGCACAGGGAGCGCATGATACAGAATTATATTGAGCATGATGATACAGGAGGTTGTAAAGTATTAACACCCAAAAAACCATCCTGAGATATGATGCAAGAGCGGAGTAATGTAATGAACTTGAGCTTCAGATGTAAGGTGATGCACTTACGGATTAGCAAAACGTAAATGAGAGTTTATGGGTGGGATATGATAAGAAATGCCCACACATGCACTTGTTGGTCACAGAACCACTATCTCCTGCTAGCGTGATGCAACCGAAGAAGCCAGTCTCATCTCGGAGGGCACCGGGAGAGACAAGGCACTGGGAGAGACAAGGCACCGGGAGAGGCAGTTCTAGCACAGGAGGGAAAGGATTAGTGCAGCAGCAGAACTGCCTATGTAAAGTCCTGGACTCCTATGTCTAGAAATTCTTCAGACTAGAGCAGATGCCCAGAAGAACTCGGATGACTAGGGAATTAAGAAGTTACTGTCTGAAAAGAAGCAACAGTGCAAGTTATATTCAGAAAATCAGGTGTTGCTCTGATGGTCATTCAGGTTCTTACCAGCCCTCTGATGCACCGGTGAAGGTACAAAGAAACAACCAGCACATAGGATACAGCCGTAGTAGTGCGTTATGCTGTATGATAACAAAGAGTAGTGGTGGTGGCATTTTCCATTTAGTCTTTTACAAGTACCAAAACCATCCAGCAGTTCATCACTCCAAAATAACTGAATTACGTAAGAACAGCTGTAACAGATCCCCACGGCAGCACGCTCCCATCTCATGAACTGTCCCCGTTTGTTGACAACAAAGTGAAAAATCAGGATACGGGGAAAAGGGTTCTAAAATAGCAAAAATAAATGTCCAAGTACAAACTCAGTAACACAGTAGAATAGAAGTCTAAGATTCCCAATGCCAGACAGACAACACATTAACAGCACGAGCTTACATTTGTTTTTCGGCGACATCGTGATATATTTAGGTATAACGAAACTCTCAGCTCATTGAACACTTTCATTTCTTCTCCAAATCCTTCCCTCGGAAACTTCCTCAAAGCATACTGATAGCGCTGCGCTGCTTCCTTCATCTTCCCTTTCTACAAATTCAGGGAACAAGAGGCTTTTCACAAACTCTTAATATTGCAATACTGTTGCAAAAAAAAAATTATATTTGAAATCTACCAACAGGTACTCTTCAAGTAGAAAATGCAGAGCCAGATTTTTTAAGAAAACAAATACACACAGTATGAATTACACTTACACACAGACACCATGAGAGAACCTGCATGTTAACTGGCGTCTGTGTTTGTTTCTACACTCATACCTTTAACGGTGTTTCACCAGGATATTTGCATTAACACTTACTATCTGTACCAGAAAACATCATGTATGTGCAATCAGTGTATGATACAATTCATAATCTCTTTTTTCTTTCTTTCTTTCTTAAACAGAGCAGTCAAATATCTGATGATGTAGCTGACTGAAACTCTAAGGCCTAGAGGCTTCTAGCAGAGCACATCCTTATCCAGGCAAGGCATATCCTTGACCAGGCGGCGATACAGCAGCAGAAGGGGCTGCATGGGAGGGGAGCAGGAGTCAGCACAACGTTCGGACACGCAGCCCAGCGCGTGCCGGGCTCGCCCAGGTGTCTCAGCAGGGATCAGCTGCGTGACCGGGCGTATGTATCTCCAGCAGTAAAAGGTCATCCTCCTACTGCTTAACAGGGGCTGAGTGAGAGAGCCAACCTGTCCCTCAGGACTACCTGGCTGACACACCACTGCACTGGAAATACTCAGACTCGCCCAGAGACGTCCGTGATGAACTGAAGATTTGAGACAGTTTTTCTAAAACCACTGAAATCCTCCTTGCATGACAAGAAAATCAAATCTTTTAGCTGACAGATGAAGAAACTTCTCTCTTTATGGATATTACAAGTTAATTTCTTTTCAGGAACATTGGGTGGTTTTTATTATTTAATTAATCTCAACAGTCCAAGCGATCAAAATTTACTGTTGAAATTGGCAAGGAAAATATTTAAGGTTTATCTTACTTTATTTAGCTGAAGAGCTGAAAAGCAGTTACTGCATACTGTGAGCACACTCAAATATGTGTTACTCTGCAAAATAACTGTCCATTTAAAACACTCTGGCAAATAAATAAAGTATACTGGAAAAAGTTCAACAAGCTAAATGACACACCAAGGCTCTGGCAAATCCATTTAAATTACTGTCACAAAATGAAGCACTCTAAAAACGGATACCAGCAGGGGATTCAACCTCTTGTAACAAACTGTGAAACACGTTAGTGCCGAGTCCTGCCCTGTTACTCTATGGTCTCAGAGTCCAGGCAGGGCTCAACCGGTGGAGCAGCGTGAGGAGAAGCTGAGGAGCAGGACGTGGTGCTGGCAACCCAGCGGCACTGTCCCCCCGGCCGCCAGCGAGCCACACGCCTCCAGAGCAGCGCGACGTCGCAGAGCCGCCCCGCCACGACAGATCCGCCTTTGAAAGACGCCTCGTGCTTCAAGGTACCTGCTTGGATATAAAGCTCCAAACCCATTTCAGGATCAATAAACTTGACAAATTACCCAGATGCAGTCACAAGACTCCTGGACAGCATCTGGGAGAATCCAAGCAGGTCCACCCTGATTCATGATGGCAAAGTCCCAAGGGACTCTCTTCTGTACTATGCAAAGCCACCTGATGTAGAACAACGATCAGAGATAAGATGGCAGATATCTGAGGGCCCTCACAAAAAACACCCTACAAATTACAAGTCTTGCAGCTCGAACAGACTTTGAATGGTGCTCACATGAGCCATTCAGCACTGTGCTGCACTAGTGAAATAACACAGGTGTTACCATACAATTTGCAAACTAATTCCAGTCTCTCTTCTGAGCAATGTATCACTGCTAGTAAAAAGAACGTACCAAAAGAGAAAAAGATTTGCCAGTCACTTAATTCACCTTTCAATGGCAATTTCAAATGAGCACCCTACATTCTGCATTACTTTTAAGAAGCAGCTGACCACTACAAACGTTCACAGAGCATCTCGCTCAATGGAAAGAAAATGCACTCAGTATTTATTTATTTTACACAGGAATTTTCAATTATTCTGTCCCAAGGTTCTCAAGATCTTGGTCTCATTCCCAACGTGAGAGGCTGCGCAAGTACGCATCTTGTCTAAACAGAAAAGGGGGTATAAAGAACTTTAATCTACCTTCAGACAGAAGTCCAGTTACAATGTTCTGCTATCAGAAAAAATAAAAAATCTACCTACTTTGTACAGTATATTTCCTTCTTCTATCAGCTTCTGCAGCAGAATAAGGAGAATATCGGGTTTTGAGGTGGCCATTGCCCATGCTGCATTTCCTGCAAGTTAAATTTTAAGGATCTCTGACAAAAGGGAAGAAAGTGTATTTCTGGTATCTATTCACACATGAAAGCTTAATCCTACTTCAGCAGATAAGTCACCTGCATGGAACTATTAATTATTATTATTAGTGTGTGCACACATACATCGAATACGTATATATCCACACCTGCCTCCTGCCCCCCCCCCCGAGACAGCAGCCAGGAATTACACGTCAGATTCCTTTTACGTCTGGCTGAAAGCCCGTATAGGACAGTATGAAAGTCATGGTAAAGTTCAGTCCCAAGTCAGGATCTATATTTGATTATATTTAGTACCCAAATAATGATAAATGATGATTTAAAAGTACTACAGATTCAATAATTATCACGTACATAGCTGCACCATCTACTTGCCTACTGATAATACATGATTTGGACATCTGCTTTTTGCCCACCCTTCGCAAAAATGTACGATTCTGTAATTTATTAAAGAATGTTATTTAAACATAAAACTTCCTAATCTAAATTGTTAGTAGTGTCAGAATTAAGTATCACTAGTAGCATAATCATAATTTTCTTGTTTAAGTATATCATGATAAAGCAACCACGTAAAGGCTGACTCCTCCAGACCTCCTCATCACCACATGTCAAAGAAAGGAACAGAATAAAATTACTTGCATTTCCTCATTTCTGAAGTGAGTCTGGAGTGTCTGCCTTTAAAAGAGAGAGACTGATTTGCAGAGCGGGCATCTGCAAACCATACAACCTGCAAAAATATAGTGTGTGTTTCAAGACTTATTTATTTAACCTACTTTACAGAGACGACAGTAGTTCTAGCAGAGCAGATACCCAGTTGTTTCTCTTGAGTACAGGATAGTTTCACTAACCTAGTTTAGCTCCTTTTCTCAGGAGCATAACCACTACCGATGTATTGCGACACCCGATAGCTCTGTCCAGCGGCCGCATGCCACTGTGGTCAACGTGCTCGATCATTGCTCCTTTCTCTACCAAATACTGAAACTGTGAAAAGAAACATTATTTTCAGCACAGTGAAATATTTAAGCTACCACCTAGTCTTCCTTGACGTATACCGAGTATACGCTCCAGAGTATGCTATGGCCATTTTAAATCCATTGAAGACAACACAGCATGGGAATACTATCACACTGTACCGAAGAGCTGCAAAACTCCGGAATTAAAAGCACCTAACACCCGAATTCCTGGAAGTACCTGTGTCAGAAAACCACTAAGACAAACACATTCTGTTTGTTCCCTCCCTTGTCCACGTTCTGCATGCCAATACGCAGACACAGCGGCGTGAGCACCAGGGCAGTAAGCTCAGAGGGGAACAGAGCAGCAGCGCAGGCCCCGTGGTTTCAGCTTCAGGCACACCGTAACACTGTGCAATGCGAGGTATTTAAAATATTCTAGTTAACAGCGTAAATACAAGTTACGGTGCCGAGGGACCACTTCTTGTTCTATCTGAAGAAAAAACACATTTGTAATTTTATTAATTTTTTATCCATTTATTACGACAGTCTAACGCTGCAGGTGGACATAAATGCAGCAAATGTAAATACAGCAAGGGCAAATAACAAAGTTTAAGAAAGCAAAATAAACACGCCAGACACCATCAGCTTCCACCAAGCATTCACCAGGCCTCCAAGACAACAGTAATTCCAGTAACTGTCCATCAGCAATACTAATTAGAAGTGCAATACGCAGGTCTGACGTAAGCAACAGCTCTTCCACACAAGCACTGCTTACCCAAGCGCGACCGGCAGCAATCTGCTATGGGGAGAGGCGTTAACAACCCTTCCCAGTGACAGCCCTCAGAGCCAGAGCTGCTGGCGAGCTCTCAGTTAGTGCGAGCCCACCCCTGCCCGCAGCCCCGGCACGCGGACCGGGCTGCCCAGCCACACCACG